GCTGCTGCTCCTGCTGCTGTTCCTGCTGCTGCTGCTGCTGCTGCTCCTGCTGTTATTGCTGCTGCTCCTGCTGCTGTTCCTGCTGCTGCTGCTGCTGCTGCTCCTGCTGTTATTGCTGCTGCTCCTGCTGCTGTTCCTGCTGCTGCTGCTCCTGCTGCTGTTGTTCCTGCTGCTGCTGCTCCAGCTGCTGCTGCTGCTGCTGCTTCTGCTGCTGCTGCTGCTGCTGCTGCTGCTCCTGCTGCTGCTCCTGCTGCTGCTCCTGCTGCTGCTCCTGCTGCTGCTCCTGCTGCTGCTGCTGCTGCTGCTGCTGCTCCTGCTGCTGCTCCTGCTGTTGCTCGTGCTGCTGTGTTCCTTCCACTACTACTCGCCTTTGTGCTTCTGCTGCTGCCGGAGGAGAGAAGACAGCAGCTGCTGCACCTGCAGGAAGTCTCACCGCTGTCCTCCGCTTGTCAGCAATTACTGAGAGCTGAAGGCGGATCTTCATTGTCTCCATGGGGCCCTAGGGCCCTCTCTTGGGGCCATTCCCCGGACCACTTCATTAGTGGGCCCCTTCCTGCCCTCCTGCACGCACCGTCTGCAGGCAGGAGAACTGAGACTTGCAGCAGCAACATAATGTTGGCGGGCGAAATGTGCAAACACACTCGCCAGCTCAATGCAACTCATACACCTGCTCTAAGCTCTCTAGTTTTACCCTTCCTCTAAGACTGCTTTGCATGTCGGGGCTTTATATTGTGACTGCGTAGAGCTTTTTTGGGTCATGTAAGAGCTCTACAGAGAGTGAAACATGACGTGATGAAGCTCTGTACAGAGCGAAACGTGACTTGATAAAGCTTTATGCAGACCGCTAAGTGACTTGATAAAGCTCTCTAGAAAGTGATACATGGCTTGATAAAGCTCAACACAGAATGAAACATGCCTAGATAAAGCTCTACTTTGAGTGAAAAATAACTTGATAAAGCTCTACACTGAGCGAAACGTGATATGATAAAGTTTTACGAAGACCGGTAAGTGATTTGATAAAGCTCCCTAGGAAGTGAAACATGGCTTGATAAAGCTCTACGCTGAGCGAAATGATAAAGCTCTACACTGAGAGACACATAACTTGATGAAGCTCTACACTGAGTGAAACATAACTTGATAAAGCTCTACACTGAGAGAAACATAACTTAATAAAGCTCTACACTGAGAGAAACATAACTTAATAAAGCTCTACACTGAGAGAAACATAACTTAATAAAGCTCTACACTGAGAGAAACATAACTTAATAAAGCTCTTCACTGAGAGAAACATAACTTAATAAAGCTCCACACTGAGAGAAACAACTTAATAAAGCTCCACACTGAGAGAAACAACTTAATAAAGCTCCACACTGAGAGAAACATAACTTAATAAAGCTCCACACTGAGAGAAACAACTTAATAAAGCTCCACACTGAGAGAAACAACTTAATAAAGCTCCACACTGAGAGAAACAACTTAATAAAGCTCCACACTGAGAGAAACATAACTTAATAAAGCTCCACACTGAGAGAAACAACTTAATAAAGCTCCACACTGAGAGAAACAACTTAATAAAGCTCCACACTGAGAGAAACAACTTAATAAAGCTCCACACTGAGAGAAACATAACTTAATAAAGCTCCACACTGAGAGAAACAACTTAATAAAGCTCCACACTGAGAGAAACAACTTAATAAAGCTCCACACTGAGAGAAACAACTTAATAAAGCTCCACACTGAGAGAAACATAACTTAATAAAGCTCCACACTGAGAGAAACAACTTAATAAAGCTCCACACTGAGAGAAACATAACTTAATAAAGCTCCACACTGAGAGAAACATAACTTAATAAAGCTCCACACTGAGAGAAACAACTTAATAAAGCTCCACACTGAGAGAAACATAACTTAATAAAGCTCCACACTGAGAGAAACATAACTTGATAAAGCTCCACACTGAGAGAAACACTTAATAAAGCTCCACACTGAGAGAAACATAACTTAATAAAGCTCCACACTGAGAGAAACATAACTTAATAAAGCTCCACACTGAGAGAAACATAACTTAATAAAGCTCTTCACTGGGCGAAACATAACATAATAAAGCTCTTCACTGGGCGAAACATAACTTAATAAAACTTTATTTTTTCATGTATATTTTTTCTCCTACTTTATTTTCCTACTTTACTAACTCCTATTATTTCCAGGTCATAATTTTGTTTCTTTATTACTGTTTTTACTTTATTTTCTCTGTTAGGTCCGAGACCCTCACCGGCTCTTGCGGGTTTAGCGCTTCCCCCAACCCCCTGGCCTTATTACTGCGTTTATTTTCCTGCTTTAAGAAGTGATGCAAAAAATAACAATAACAGAGTAATAAAGAAGCAATAAAGAAAATAACAGAAGCTAATAAAAAATAACAGAAGCAAATAAAAAATAACAGAGGGAAATAAAAATAACAGAGGCAAATGAAAAATAACAGAAGCAAATAAAAAATAACAGAGGGAAATAAAAAATAACAGAAGCAAATAAAAAATAACAGAAGCAAATAAAAAATAACAGAGGCAAATGAAAAATAACAGAAGCAAATAAAAAATAACAGAGGCAAATGAAAAATAACAGAAGCAAATAAAAAATAACAGAGGCAAATGAAAAATAACAGAAGCAAATAAAAAATAACAGAGGCAAATAAAAAATAACAGAAGCAAATGAAAAATAACTGAAGCAAATAAAAAATAACAGAAGCAAATAAATAATAACAGAAGCAAATAAAAAATAACAGAAGCAAATAAAAAATAACAGAAGCAAATGAAAAATAACAGAAGCAAATGAAGAAAATAACAGAAGCAAATAAAAAATAACAGAAGCAAATAAAAATAACAGAAGCAAATGAAAAATAACAGAAGCAAATAAAAAAATAACAGAAGCAAATAAAAAATAACAGAAGCAAATAAAAAATAACAGAAGCAAATGAAAAATAACAGAAGCAAATAAAAAATAACAGAAGCAAATGAAGAAAATAACAGAAGCAAATAAAAAATAACAGAAGCAAATAAAAAATAACAGAAGCAAATGAAGAAAATAACAGAAGCAAATGAAGAAAATAACAGAAGCAAATGATGAAAATAACAGAAGCAAATGATGAAAATAACAGAAGCAAATGATGAAAATAACAGAAGCAAATGAAGAAAATAACAGAAGCAAATGATGAAAATAAAAGCAATAAAGAAAGCAGAGAAGCAATAAAGAAAATGAGAGAGAGGAGCAATAAAGAGAACAATGAGAGAGGTTCAATAAAGCAGGTTGGCAGACAAGAGATCAAAGCCTCGAACAGAGTATTGGATTCCACTGTAATACTCAGTAGATAGGTTCCAAACCTATGTAAGCTATTATTAGATGATTGTGATACAATCATCATCACTGCTACCATGATGGTGATACAGTCACTGCTATCATGATGATACAATAACTGCTACCATGATGACACAATAACTGCTACCATCATGGTGATACAATCACTGCTAAAATGATGATACAATAACTGCTACCATGATGACACAATAACTGCTACCATGATGGTGATACAATAACTGCTACCATGATGGTGATACAATAACTGCTACCATGATGGTGATACAATAACTGCTACCATTATGGTGATACAATAACTGCTACCATGATGGTGATACAATAAGTGCTACCATGATGGTGATACAATCACTGCTACCATGATGGTGATACAAAAACTGCTACCATGATGGTCATACAATAACTGCTATCATGATGGTGATACAATAATTGCTACCATGATGGTGATACAATCACTGCTACCATGATGGTGATACAATAACTGCTACCATGATGGTGATATAATCACTGCTACCATGATGTTGATACAATCACTGCTACCATGATGGTGATACAATCAACGCTGCTGCCATGATGGTGATAAGATCACTGTTACCATGATGGTTATACAATCACTGCTACCATGATGGTGATACAATCACTGCCAGAGCCTGAGCGGCCCTCAATACACACACACACACACACACACACACACACACACACACACACCACACACACACACACACACACACACACACACACACACACACACACACACACACCACACACACAACACACACACACACATACACACACACAGGAGTTGAATGGGAAAAGCCTGACTATAAAAGAGGGGACTACATAGGGTTGAAGAACTTCCTGCGGGAGGTCCAGTGGGACAGAGAACTGGCAGGAAAGCCAGTAAATGAAATGATGGAATATGTAACAACAAAATGCAAGGAGGCAGTGGAAAGGTTTATTCCCAAGGGCAACAGTAACAACGGGAAGACCAGAACGAGCCCCTGGTAAGGAGGCAAAAACAAAGTGCAATAGAGAATGAAAAAAGTACAGAAGGCAGAGAACACACGAAAATAGGGAGATCAGTCGCAGAGCCAGGAATGAGTACGCACAGGTAAGGAGGGAGGCCCAGCGACAGTATGAAAATGACATAGCATCGAGAATCAAGACTGACCCGAAACTGTTGTATAGCCACATCAGGAGGAAGACAACAGTCAAAGACCAGGTGATCAGATTAAGGACAGAAGGTGGAGAACTCACAAGAAATGATCAGGAGGTATGTGAGGAGCTGAACAGGAGATTTAAGGAAGTTTTTACAGTAGAGACAGGAAGGGCTGTGGGAAGACAGCACAGAAGGGAACATCAAGAGGGGATATACCAACAAGTGTTGGATGACATACGAACAACTGAGGAGGAGGTGAAGAAGCTCTTAAGTGACCTTGACACCTCAAAGGCGATGGGACCGGACAACATCTCCCCATGGGTCCTTAGAGAAGGAGCAGAGGTGCTGTGCGTGCCTCTAACCACAATCTTCAACACATCCCTTGAAACTGGGCAACTACCTGAGAAATGGAAGACAGCTAATGTAGTCCCCATATTTAAGAAAGGAAACAGAAACGAGGCACTAAACTACAGACCTGTGTCTCTGACATGTATTGTGTGCAAAGTCATGGAGAAGATTATCAGGAGAGTGGTCGAACACCTGGAAAGGAACAAGATTATAAATGAAAACCAGCATGGGTTCATGGAAGGCAAATCTTGTATCACGAACCTCCTGGAGTTTTATGACAAGGTAACAGAAGTAAGACACGAGATAGAGGGGTGGGTAGATTGCGTTTTCCTAGACTGCAGGAAGGCCTTTGACACAGTCCCCCACAAGAGATTAGTGCAGAAGCTGGAGGATCAGGCGCACGTAGAAGGGAGGGCACTGCAATGGATAAGGGAATACCTGACAGGGAGGCAGCAACGAGTCATGGTACGTGAAGAGGTATCACAGTGGGCGCCTGTTACGAGCAGGGTCCCACAGGGGTCAGTTCTAGGACCAGTGCTATTTTTGATATATGTGAACGACATGATGGAAGGAATAGACTCTGAAGTGTCCCTGTTCGCAGATGACGTGAAGTTGATGAGAAGAATTAAATCGGACGAGGATGAGGCAGGACTGCAAAGAGACCTGGACAGGCTGGATATGTGGTCCAGCAACTGGCTTCTCGAATTCAATCCAGCCAAATGCAAAGTCATGAAGATTGGGGAGGGACAAAGAAGACCGCAGACAGAGTATAGACTAGGTGGACAAAGACTACAGACCTCACTCAGGGAGAAAGACCTTGGGGTGACCATAACACCGAGCACATCACCGGAGGCACACATCAACCAAATAACCGCTGCAGCATACGGGCGCCTGGCAAACCTGAGAATAGCGTTCCGATACCTTAATAAGGAATCGTTCAAGACACTGTACACTGTGTATGTTAGGCCCATACTGGAGTATGCAGCACCAGTCTGGAACCCACACCTGGTCAAGCACGTCAAGAAGTTAGAGAAAGTACAAAGGTTTGCAACAGGGCTAGTCCCAGAGCTCAAGGGAATGTCGTACGAGGAAAGGTTAAGGGAAATCGGACTGACGACACTGGAGGACAGAAGGGTCAGGGGAGACATGATAACGACATGCAAGATACTGCGGGGAATAGACAAGGTGGACAGAGATAGGATGTTCCAGAGAGGGGACACAGGGACAAGGGGTCACAACTGGAAGCTGAAGACTCAGACGAGTAACAGGGATGTTAGGAAGTATTTCTTCAGTCATAGAGTTGTCAGCAAGTGGAATAGCCTAGCAAGTGAAGTAGTGGAGGCAGGAACCATACATAGTTTTAAGAAGAGGTATGACAAAGCTCAGGAAGCAGAGAGAGAGAGGATCCAGTAGCGATCAGTGAAGAGGCGGGGCCAGGAGCTGAGTCTCGACCCCTGCAACCACAATTAGGTGAGTACAATTAGGTGAGTACACACACACGCACATACACACACACATACACATACACACACACACACACACATACACACACATACACACACACACACACACACACACACACACACACACACACACACACACACACACACACACACACACACACACACACACACACATAACAGTGCAATAAAGAAAATAACAGAAGCATGAACCAGCGAGGCTGGACTTAGTATTCACCTTGAGTAGTGCATATATCGAGGACATCACATATGAAAGACCCCTTGGAGCCAGCGATCATGTGATTTTAAGCATCGAATACACAGTAGAGCTACAAGTGGAGGGGGAAGCAGGAAGGCCAGGACGAATGAAGCCAAACTACAAGAAAGGGGACTACACAGAAATGAGGAACTGTGCACCAACAGACACAAACGGTTCACCAACAGACATAAACGGTGCACTAACAGACACAGACGGTGCACCAACAGACACAAACGGTGCACCAACAGACGCAAACGGTGCACCAACAGACACAAACGGTGCACCAACAAACACAGACGGTGTACCAACAGACGCAAACGGTGCACCAACAGACACAAACGGTGCACCAACAAACACAGACGGTGTACTAACAGACACAAACGGTGCACCAACAGACACAAACGGTGCACCAACAGACACAAACGGTGCACTGGGGTTGCCAATCCATCTCCGCTCACGAACTGCACACGAATAAGTAAAGAGGATCACGAACGATAATTCCCTCTATCAATTCCTTTCAATTCACTCGTCAATCACCAGAAAAGATCACTGTACTCTGAGTGGCGGCCTCAGAACGGTAAGTTGTAGCTGGGAGATCAGGTATGGTACTATTACACTGCTCAGCATTTGGAATGTTTATAATTTATATTTTTATTTATGGTTGTGATCTTACATATTCTTCGGCTGCTGATTGTAAATATCTGAACCATTTTGCTCTCTCACGTAAAGATTTTGAATAAAATGCAAATTAATGATAATACAAGAATGTGAATTTTTAATAAATTGTTAATTTATTAAAATTAGGCAAGTAATCACGGACAAGTACATTCTCTTAGTTTTAAGGACATATGAATTCCAAATCAACATGAATCAATTCTGGTACATGATTGCAGATATTATTGTCTTCATATCTGCGTGAGTATCTGACATTTGGACACTGTGGCCAGTTGGCACAGATGCAGCTGTGTTACTGTTGTAGAGAAGTACAGCCTTTAAACTCCTTTTAGAAGAATCAATGAAGAATCTCCAGTCATCTGCTTTGTATAACATCCCCGTGTGTTCAATAAGGCCAGAAATATTTGAAGAGAAAACTAAAGATTAATCTTTGTCAAAGAACTTAGTGAATTCCGCTTCATGATGACGGTACCAAACGAATGTTGGTCCAGGAGCTAGAAGCCTGTGTCCCTTCATTCTAGAGCCAAGTAACTGTGCACTTTCTTTTGGAAGGTTAAGGTCTCTCACCAAGTCATTGAGATCAACTTGGTTGAAGGGTTTGTGATCGTCATTCGTTGGTGGTTCATAATCTACCTCCATCTTCTTAGAATCACTGGTATCAGACTCTGATGAAATTTGTCACGTGTCAGGTGGCTCAGGTACACGAATATCTTCAGTGTGTGGAACAGGTCTTATTGCTGAAGAAATATTGGGGTATATTATGTGATCTTTAGTCTTCTTGTTGAATCCAGCTACTTTAGTCATACCATTGTAGCAGTCATCATGGTGGCTCATCTGCTCCCACCATACCATTGTAGCAGTCATCATAGTGGCTCATCTGCTCCCACCATACCATTGTAGCAGTCATCATAGTGGCTCATCTGCTCCCACCATACCATTGTAGCAGTCATCATGGTGGTTCATCTGCTCCCACCATACCATTGTAGCAGTCATCATAGTGGCTCATCTGCTTCCACCATACCATTGTAGCAGTCATCATAGTGGCTCATCTGCTCCTGCCATACCATTGTAGCAGTCATTATGGTGGTTCATCTGCTCCTGCCATACCATTGTAGCAGTCATCATGGTGGTTCATCTGCTCCCACCATACCATTGTAGCAGTCATCATGGTGGTTCATCTGCTCCCACCATACCATTGTAGCAGTCATCATGGTGGTTCATCTGCTCGCACCATACCATTGTAGCAGTCATCATGGTGGTTCATCTTCTCCCACCATACCATTGTAGCAGTCATCATGGTGGTTCATCTGTTCCCACCATACCATTGTAGCAGTCATCATGGTGGTTCATCTGTTCCCGTCATACCATTGTAGCAGTCATCATGGTGGTTCATCTGATCCCACCATACCATTGTAGCAGTCATCATGATAGTTCATCTGCTCCCACCATACCATTGTAGCAGTCATCATGGTGGTTCATCTGCTCCCACCATACCATTGTAGCAGTCATCATGATAGTTCATCTGCTCCCACCATACCATTGTAGCAGTCATCATGGTGGTTCATCTTCTCCCGACATACCATTGTAGCAGTCATCATGGTGGTTCATCTTCTCCCGACATACCATTGTAGCAGTCATCATGGTGGTTCATCTTCTCCCGACATACCATTGTAGCAGTCATCATGGTGGTTCATCTGCTCCCACCATACCATTGTAGCAGTCATCATGGTGGTTCATCTTCTCCCGACATACCATTGTAGCAGTCATCATGGTGGTTCATCTTCTCCCGACATACCATTGTAGCAGTCATCATGGTGGTTCATCTGCTCCCACCATATCATTGTAGCAGTCATCATGGTGGTTCATCTGCTCCCACCATATCATTGTAGCAGTCATCATGGTGGTTCATCTGCTCCCACCATACCATTGTAGCAGTCATCATGGTGGTTCATCTTCTCCCGACATACCATTGGTACTCCTAAGGGCATACATATAAGTTCATCAACTGACCACATTTGGAGCTTACTGATGCAACTCTTGCAAGCTTTGTGTGTTGCAAATGGTTTGACCTGGTCTTCAAGTTTGTCCTGGTCTTCAAGTTTGTCCTGGTCTTCAAGTTTGTCCTGGTCTTCAAGTTTGTCCTGGTCTTCAAGTTTGTCCTGGTCTTCAAGTTTGTCCTGGTCTTCAAGTTTGTCCTGGTCTTCAAGTTTGTCCTGGTCTTCAAGTTTGTCCTGGTCTTCAAGTTTGTCCTGGTCTTCAAGTTTGTAGCCAAAACAAACAAAGTAGCAGCGCTTTAATAAAGGATTAATGTCACTCCGAGAATCTGAAGGTGTGAATTACCCGCAGACACAGCAAAATATGTCTGGTGAATTTATGCAGCTTCTAGACATATTAATTATATGAAAATAAAGAAAAATATATTATATTTAAGATTTAAGTCAATATAAGAGAGCATTTTAATTCGTAATATACCACTTTCTCATTTATTTATGTTATACAACAAGAGAAAAGTAACCTGTCCGTATAACTTAACAACCTAATGTAACAGAGAGGAATAAAAAAAACAGTGAATCACTATTTTCCATATATATACCCGAAAAGATACCAAAAAGTCAATAAAAAAATTATGTAGACCAGTGTTATTATTATTATTATTATTATTATTATTATTATTGTTGTTGTTATTATTACAGTGAATGGATCAGCATATGTCAGCTGCTGTGTGTACTCACCTATTTGTACTCACCTATTTGTGGTTGCAGGGGTCGATTCATAGCTCCTGGCCCCGCCTCTTCACT